AAAAAAAAAAAAAAAAAATGGGGGGAAAAAAAGACATTTAAAAAAGAGCATATATGAGAAAATGACAATTTTTCATAGAATGTTTTTAAATGAAAACATTTTTCAAAGTTTCATTGATGAATTGTCGTTTTAATAATTAAATTTGATGAAAGTATTTTATTTTATTTTCCATTCACAAAACATTTTCTTGTTATCAACTATAATGGAGCGAAAATAACCTCCATATTGACCCAGAGCTCCTGGAAATGTTCAGCATGGCTGCCAATATAGTATTGCATAGCATAACACAACATGTTTAATATACTTTCGTCGTGTCTCATGTATATACATGTATATATGCGATATACAACATTTCTCAACTGCAACTTTAACATCCATGATTTTTTTGATGTCCCAAAGATCTATGCTGTGCTATAAAGGGTAATATAAAGGGTAATGAACTCACCTCCTCCCTCAATTCTATTTTTGCTGTTTCTTTATTTTATTTAGTTTCAGGGTAGTTTGATTAAAAGCAGAGACAAGTTTCTGTGTGTTGAGTTGATCTTTTCACATCTGCCTCTCTAATCACAGCATATTGGGCAGCAGGATTATCCGTCACAGCTGTTTTAGACAACCTCTCCCTCAGTGTGACTTTTTATATTAGTGGAAAAGGTTGCTTAGTCCTGTGGTGGAAATATGGCGCAGCACATCTAATCACTTTTATGATGCTTTTTTGATTTACTCCCAGGTGAACAAAGCCTCTGACTCTTATATTTCAGTCTGGCATTTGTATTTGAAAGACTAGTCTGACTGTGGCTCAAGATGAACGCAGCGCTCTGCTAATATTATCAGCATTTTCCATGCAGTACAGATGGTAGGGTCGGCAATTACTGGGAGCTGAGCTCGGCCAGTTGGGCTACAGGAAAGCAGTCTGACTGGAAAAAGATGCCAGAATTGCTAAGTTTTTAGGGAAAAAAGTGGATTACTTCTGTGGCAATGTTTTTTCTCCTCTCATCTGTTGTCCACTCTTACTCCGACACTCATAATTGAAACACAAAGCCCGTACCAAGAGGAAGTGATTTAAGCTGATAAAAGTCACAGATGGTGGGAGGAGACAGACAAGCCGGTGGTTTTTATTGCCAGGGTTTGTAGCTCTTATTATATATATTTCTATTAGAACTTAAACCTCACCTCTGGTTGATGAAAGTCCAGATACTCTTATATTTCCCCTGTCTGGCAGTTTAAAATGTACGCAGCATGCTGGTAATGATGTTCACTTTGCACATAATTGGAGTTAAGCTAAAGCTCTAGTCAGCAGCCTTTGTCTCTGGTTACATTGAAAAAGAAGCATAACATGATTACTATTAGAAACTGTCAATAGACGTTGTTTAAAGACCCGTGAGCAAACATTGTAGTTTCCCCGTAACTTTAGCTGGAAATTCTGAAACATATTCCATTATCAGGTGTGTTTTTACCATATCCCATAACATATATATGTCATGTATGTAACATACAATATTGCTAAACAGCTTACTAATATTTTACCCTCCCAATTATGTACTGAGATTTGTAAATGTGTAAAAAAAATCCACAAATCTGTATTCAGATTTACAAATCTGTAGTAAGATTTGCTAATATGTCGATCAATCTTTTAAGCACACACAGAGACACTTATGTCTGAAGTATTTTCGGTTCAAGACCCAGAAATACAGACAAATCATTGATTACTCTCTTGGTGACTCTCTTTACACACGTGATTTTTGCTACACTTCTGCCGTGTGAGATCTGCAAATGAGTAGAGGATTTGTATGTAATATCTGGATTTGCTATCCTGAGCGCAGGCTCAAAGGCTGCCTCTTCCTGCTGCAGGAGTTCAGCACCACTTGCTGCACCTACACCTACAAGCACAACGAACAGATTCACATCAGATGCTCTTCAAACCTTTGGATACCCAAACGGGCCATTTGTCAAATCAGCCAGGAAATCCAAAAGACACGCAGTAGAACATAACGTCTAGAAGATTAAACCTAAAAACATCACCTTCCCAAATGTTGCTGGAGTCTCTGAAAAACTCAAGAGGATTTTCTCCAAACATAAAATCCCAGAACATTTCAAACCAAACAGACCCTTAGACATCCTAAAGATAAAACCCCCAGACCAAAGATGAGCAGAGGGCTGTAAGCAGTTTGATGCAGGGAGGAATGCTCTGATCTTCGTATTGGAGAAACCAAACAGCATCTCACCAGACCTCCTCATGTTAATTAGAATCACTGCGGTATAGTAATGTATACTAGTGATGGCTTTCAATAGATGAAAACAGTAAAATGTTTAGTTTCCAGTGCAACCAGCATCTTGTGT